CAGTCGAAACGATCTCTGCAGAATTAATTTTAAATCTAGGAAGAGTCAGTAGCAGATTCAATATTGGTGTAAATTGGCAGACGGTTCTAGAATTTTAACAAGAATTGTCATAAATTCCATTTGCCATTGAAAGTAACTTCAGCGACTATAAAATTGCAGTATTTAACAAAATACATTTAACAAAATAGACGAAAATTTCGAAGTGTTAAAAATTAATAATACGGAAAAATTTCTTATCGTCATAAAATTACTTTCTTTTTCCTAAAAAAAAAAAAAATTATCAACGAACGATATTGCGTTACTAATGTACGAGTTACCTTTGATAAAGTAAACGATTTACTTCCGGGGGAAAAAGCCGTACATTTCCCAAAGTTTCTTTTTCCATCGACATATTTGTGTTTCCAAATCATTTCACTCTGTCTTTTAATAACGTTTGCGTACTTTCTGACGGCGACACGGAATAAGTTAGACGCGTCCTTTCAGTCCGAACCTGTGCGCCCTTAAAATTCCGCAAAAAACTCCCGCGGCCATTTCCGTGTTTACACTAGGAAACATCGATTCATTTCGAGGAGTGCCTTTCAAATAAACTTTTAGAAAAAACTTGCGAGGATTCTAAATTTACCGATGTCCATTCGGATTCTCCGCAACTGTGAGGCGCAGTTAACCGTGAAATGTGAAGGGAGAGCCTTTCGACTTTTAATTTCAGTCCTCCTCGAACCACTTCTCGCTCCTTCCTCGTTCCTGCTTCTTCCTTCTTCTTTTTTTCCTCTCTTTTGTCTTCTCTGATGTAGGCTGTTACCATAATAATTTCTCGGATCCTCCGGTTTTAAAGGGGACAGCCTGGGCCTGATTTATTAATCGGGGAAAATGGAAATTTGCGGGAAAATGATTACTCTTCAATGCTTGAAATGCTAAATATGTTACTGCAACGAAGAACGGAGAAAAATATTGGATAGGCGTGAAACTTGTTTTACACGTAAAAAGTTTATTTGTGTTTTTTATCTATTATTATTAAAATGTAATCGATAATTTTCTTTAATTTTCTATTCAACAGACTTTAATTTTCTCTGAGAAACATCTGTCTGCAACCTAACGTTTCTGTGATATTATGATAAAATTATTGAAAAATTGAAAGTAGAGAGTTTCAATATGAAAATTTCACGACAAAATAAATCACGCATATAAACCGGCTTATTTCTGAATTTTTTATTCTCCCGTGAGTTTTCACGCGAAATTCCACCGAATAATTACGTTTCGCCGTTTCTAAGTGTATCTGACTCCACTGAAACAAGTGAAATAATTTTCGCCGACTTCTTCACGCAGATACTCCTAATTGGCTGTTTAAAAAAAGTAAGGGTGCGTTTAGACGAAAGGAACAAAACCTCGTTCGCTCCCCATTTCCAAAGATTCTCCGTCCATTCGTTTGTTTAGTCGACAAAAGAACATTCGTTGGTTTAGTCAGAACGCACCTTGAGATATTCGATCGAACAGAAGCTCGGAAATCCTTTGCACAGCCGGCAACTTACACGTCGGCATCGCGGAAGGGAGGGAAAAGGAAGCGCAAAGCGAGAAAAACAGCGAGAAGCCTAGCGAGCGACGATTAATTCGATTCTCATGTGCATCGGCGGCGAGGAGGAGTGACTCAACGAAAGGGCTGGGGAAACTCCGCGGGGAGTCGAGTAGACAAATGGAACTTGATTGTGTTCTAAGTATCGGGGGATGAAGTGACAGTTTTGAAGGGTAACATCGGCGTCATCGTGAAACAGTGGTTCACCGCTTGACATTTTCCCCACGGGCTGTGTATGTGTGTCAGTGTGTACGTTTGCGTGTGTAAATACGCTGCGTCCACGGGATTATATGCACTATTAATCGCGACCCATTATACGCTCTAATGGCCCTTTGAGATATTTTCAATAGGGTAGCGGAGGCTGCCTGAAGACAGATCTGCGCTAAGATTTTTGCGCGACTGTTGCTTCGAACTGGGAGAAATCGAAGGGTCCGTTATGCTTGAGTTTGTTCTGCGATTAAGTTAGACTTTGGAAAAATTGATCTTCTTGATCTTCTTTATCGGTATTTTGGATATTCTTGAAGATGGTTTTTAAATGAAAAGGGACATCTTAGGGAGATCTTAGGTTTGATGGTTAATGATTTAATTATTTTTAGTTTTTTTTTTTTTTTTAAGTTTGTTATCTGTCGAGTGTCGGTAAAGATTAAAGGAAGTTATAAAACGTTTTTTTAAGATGGGTTGTTTGTCGGCTTGAACCAGTGCGATGAGGTTATAAGAAAGATATGCCATTATTAACAATGAGATGTAAAATGTTATACAAACTTGTCACAGACTTGGTACTATAATACCAAAAGGTATAATCTTGTAATAAATTGTAAAAATATGTCGCACAAGGCTGCAAAACAGTTTGTTCTATAATTCTGTTGCGTTACATAGTGTAAACACAGCTTTACAAAGATCAATTTTAATTCTAATTTATGAAATTCAGTATTGCCAAATATAAACAATGTAGCTTTTTTAGAAAAGAAATGATAAGACAAACGGTTGAACATTTAAAATTTGAATTAGATAATTCTACCTTAAGTTTAATTTTTATCAATAGTTAACATTAACTACCAATCGGAATTTTTATCTACGAGTATTCCTGTCGTTTCGAAAACACAAAATAAATATTATAAATTGTCGCTATACAAAATTTATTGCATCAACGAAGTAGAACAGTTTCTACAAAAAGAAAAAAGAAAAACGTGAAATTTTCCTCACTTCCAAGCTACACCGTTGAAAACTCCGTCTCTCCCGTGAAAACCAATAAACCGGCAGAAACAGATTAATTAGTAGCATGACGCGCAAAGACGAAAAAGAAGAGCATAGGAATCGGTATCCTCATTATCGTGCCGGGGTACAAGAAGCCCGGTAATTAAGCGTTGCAAACGCGTCTAACAACGTTTCATCATCGTAACGACGCGCACAAGCGTCCTTTCAAGGCCGTGAAACGGCAAAAATAGATGATAAAAATCCGATAGCCCATGTACACCGACATCATACCCGTTTCTTAACTCGATCTCACTACAGGCGTTATTCGTGCATCGTTTAGAATAAGATCCTAACCAGCCGTGAAAAATTCCATTTTCACGATCCCCTTTTTTCTATCGAAGATTTAAGACGTGGGTGTCCGAACATTTTTGGCTTGCCTGGGCCACGTTAAGCGGAGAGGAATCGTTTTGTGCCGCAAACTTCCTTTATTTTTTTTATTATGGCGTATCGAGTTATGAAAAATATCGTTAAAAATCGCATAATAGTGTTAAAAGTTGACGATCTTGTGCGTTTCTAGCCCTATGGGCAGCATGAGGCCCGCGGGGCATTTTACTAGCCCTCGAGGGCGGAACGAGCCCTGTGGGCCGCGGGTTGAACAAGCTTGATTTAAAGCTTTCACGGTCCGGGGCATAACTGTTACTATTATTGAGGCTTTCAGGTGTAAATCATGTCCTTATGGAAAGGATACTTCGACGTTTCATTTGATACGATTCTAATAATTAAGGATCAGTCTTTCTTAAACATTTACCGTTTTATTTTATCAACGGACACATGTTTTATCAAGTTTCACTGCACAGTATACGAATTCGAAGCGTTTTTTGTGCGTTTTGGTTCTAATTTTCTTCATACTTATTTTTGGAAAAAGTATTATAATTTCTGTGTTATGAACATTAGTACTGTAAGTTCATTTAATATACTACATCACGAGCAAAACCCTCTGCTTTTCATTCAATTAATTACAGACGAAATTCTATCTTTTAAAAAAGTGATCCATCATTCCCAGATTTACCCTACTTCAACGAGAATCAATATGTGTCAAATCTATTCGCACACTGTTTCCTCCGAAACTTCCTCTTACACACACGCGAGAGAGACTATCAACAGATTCTGCATTTGAAAACAATTGCTGACTACGGCCGTAATTCTCGCGTGTTTGAAGTAGAATAGCACGTACCTACATACGCGTGGACTGCGTGCGCAAGCACATTCGTGTATCGCCGGACAGATCGGGGCAAATAGCGATAATTTAATAAAGTTGCTGTGACGCGCTGGTAAACGCAGCGGCCCACCCACTGATAGAACCGTGGAGGGGAAAAAAAGCGGGAAACGCGTTTAACGCGTGGCGACACGAGAGGCGACAAATTCCGATGGTGCACCCATTACGTGTCATTCCCCATCGGCATTCAACGACTATGAACCCCTTTAGCCGCGTGAAACGCATAATGAACGCCGACAACTTTCCACCCATTGTTCGCCTATCGTAATTCTTTCTTCGAATCCCGCCTCTTTCGAGCAATTTCGATGTGTCCCAAGCGTTTAAACTTTTTACCGAGATTTTCTTTTTCTTTTTTTTCTTTTCGGTGCAAGAGTTTGTGAAACTCTGGTGAAGTCGTTGTCAGAGTATGTGTATTTTTAGAAACATGCTGTGTGTAGTATTAATGTAAGTGTAGAAATTGGTAGTCAAACTCACTCTGACGGATCCACGGTGATAAAATCTGTATACAACTTCAACAATTCGCCTCCGACCACGTAGCCTAACGCAGGTCCTATAATTGCCATCGTGTAGAAAATTCCTAAACAGAAAAGAAAGGAGTACGCGCTTATTAAAAGCATCTTCGTAAATTCTTGAGAGAAATCATTTTGCTAGAAATTTTTTCCATTTATCGTTCTGTTTCAATCGTAATTAAAAGTGAAATAGTGTCTTTAGAACTGTATTTTTTTCTTATACCGACAAAGTTGGGACACCTGGTTTCTGTCAGCCATTTATACGTGTTAGCAGTTGTTAATAAGAGGAAAGATAATGGTAGACAGACTTTCGTTTCTTACCTACGTACACAGATGACATCTTTTTCGATACGTTTTCGTCTATGAACGTAACACCAAGCGTATAAAAAGGAGCGGAGCCCGCACCGTGCAGAAGTTGAGCCATGAGAAAGATAGCTAAGTACAACCCGCTGTATGGTTCCTGGTCCACTTGGCCAACAGACCCATTACAGGATAGCTGAACGGGGTGGAAAATATATAAGCGAATTGAGGGTAATTTAATTAGCAAACATGAATTTCAAGTTGGAATTAGAAAGAAACGAGCAGGGAACTTAAAACTTCAGTTAATGTAATTTAGGTCGATACGTTGGATGTTAGGAGAATTTAACGAAGTGGCGGAGCTTTTAGGTTAAGCTATTTTAAAAATTGACAGGTTTTTTTACAGAAGTAGGTTAGGTGAGGAGTAACGAATAAAAATTCTATTATTGGTACTTCAATTTTTGTCGAATCAATTTTCTAAAAGATTGTATATTATGCAGAAATGGAAGTCGTGATATTGTAGATTAATAATTACCGGATTATAACCGGAATAAAAAGTCATTTTTAGGAAATTTTTTAATTTTTTATTATACCTGGTTGGTGAAATAATTTTCTACCCAAGTTCTACCTTTTTTACGAAATATCTCAAAAATATAAATTTGCATAAAAATCCGCAGTCTACCAATCACCAACGCGTTAAACGAATGAACACTTCCACAAAATTACTCACTGATCGCGACGACGTGTTCGTCACCCTTTGGCATATGTTCTCCGACTGCTGGCCACCTCTGTACGGTCCAGCAATGTAATGAGGAGATGCGAAGAGCAGACTTCCTAAGCCTAAAACTAAAACCCCCACGCCTATGTATCTGTAACAAGAATAGACAAACAAGTATACGATAAATGATGAAAAAAATCACACCGAAACGAGACGATATTTCTTCCTGTTTAGAGACGTTCCATGATCTATAAATATCCATGCCTCAAAGTTCCACCTCAAGATTACTCTCTCGCGCGTTTCGCTCTTTCCAAGTGGTATCGATTATCGATTAAGGATCGAAACCAGACAGGGTAGCAAGGGAGAGGCCCGAAAGTGTCGAAGCGAAGGAACGAAATGGAGATTAACGTGGACACTGTCGGCCCGGCTGACGTTAGGATTAATATTTATGAAAACTGTCGGGGTAAACCGATATCGGCATTAATATTAATAGGCAGGACAATGGCTTGTACAGGAGCATACGTGTATATGTAAACCGTATTTCCACACGTACGTATGTATGTATGTATGTACTTATGTACCTTGGTTTCGATGCTTTCGAGCGTCCACCGAGATAGCTCACTGGGACGAGGATAAGGAAACTGGCTATGTCGTATCCGCCCGCTATTAGACCAGTCTGCGAGGACCTTAAGCCGAATCTCCTTTCTATCGTGGTGATGACCACGTTCACGAAACCATTTACCACCATTCCTGAAAGCAAACAATGTCATTTTGTTGTTGTGTGTGTGTCGTTTCAAAGGTTTGCGTTTTATGTGGAACTTCTGATTGTAGTTGTAGACAGTTTAGGGTGGTTTATTGGAGTAAATACCAGGTGAAATACCTGGTTAACCCTTTGACATATAAATAAAATTGAATTTGATGCGTTGAAAATTATTTAAAAAAAAATGGTCCCAGTGACGTCAATGTTTACAGTGACATAATAAAATATGACGATCCCAGACGTCTTTGTGTGTCAAAGGGTTAATGATCGCGTGGAGCTGATTAATTGGCGGAAGAATATACGTACCTCAAAGAGTAAATGAGTAGCTAACACGTTTTTTAATCTGACAGTGAACAGTATTACAAAGTTAGATTTTACTTCAAACTATGTGTTTTCTATAATTATTTATGACAGTTTCCCATTTATGTGAAAGTTACGTTATGCCTCTTTCATACAAAGCTCCGGATTTATCGTTAAGAAAGGAACTTATTGAACTCTTTACGTCTTTAAAATAGCCGAAATTTTTGCTATAATTACGTCAAAGGAAGAAATAAGGTCAGTGAATGGATTGACTGACGAAAGTCCGTCGTTAAATCTTCCATTATTCAATACTCGCGATATTTTCAATCGTACTCGAAGAAGTACAACCGATAGTATCTCGACTTCCATCGATTCTGACTGAATTAAACGTCGAGAAAGAAGCGTTGGTTTGGTGGGAATACTGGAGCATCCTAATAATATCTCGATTCTCTGCTCCCATTCTGAAATGTGAACAACGTTGATCCAGGATACACGTACATTTGTAAATACATATATGTGTACATATTGGATTTGATCCTTCAAAGCAAATCCTCGTGCCGCGTGTAAATGAATCAGAAAGGGTAAACTAATTGAATTACGTCTCCCCTCTTTTGCTCTGACCTGTATATATCCGTTCACCCTCGAAGAAATCGCTCTCTCGAACCGTAAATCTATTAAACACTTCTTTCTCACGAATATACACGCTAATCGCCTCTGAATCAAACAGCCTCGTACGTTGGTTGGTTCGATCATTCGTTGGAAGGTACAAACAGCCGTCGAATTACAAACCGAAGCTCGGCCGTGCAGTATCGACTGACAAAAGCGTTCAACCATCTCTGACAATCGCAAAAACGAATTTTCCCTGGGAAATTCGCTCGGATATAGGCGGCCTGTATTCGAGATTTCTGCCCTATGGTTTTTCTCGACGGTTCTCGGTATATTCTCTTTCGGTGGAAATATATTTGTTCGCACGAATGGTTGAATATTTTAGGGGAAAAAGAAGAGCCGCGAGATGATAGAACAGTGAATTTTTCGTGAGAAAGTATTAAGCTTTATTTGTACTAAATTTAATAATTGACAGGTGTACGGAAGTCAGCAAATATCTTGCTAATTAGTAGGTCTAGGACAAATAAAGTTTAATACTTTCTTATAAAAAATTCATTGCTCTGTTAAATTTTGCTCTTGTACGGTTTTGCAAGTATTCCCGATAATATGAGAACTTATATTAAAACTTTACATAGGGGTGATTTCATCCCTAGGATCGTTTTATTGCCGAAACAAAAATTGGTTTCGTTATTAGCCTCACTTCTGCAAAGTTTCAAACTTCTCTAAACTAAATTTCTACAAAGTTTGAAATTTTTTTGAATTTTCGCATTGTCAAACTACCCTTATGAACGTACCTATATATTCTTACCATACCGAATAGTCAATTTCTGCTGAATCAATGTTCTCCTCACATTCGCCCCAAACACGACTCACTGCTGTTCCAAAGAAAAGTATCCTACCTTAACATGAATTTCCCTCGAAAAACCGACAAATCCATCCAAGAAATAAAAATTGCACCTCGAACAATTAAACACAATTCACGTATCCCTCCCACGGTAGTTAGCCAATATCCATCGAATTAGCAAGCTCGCAGGCGATGGTGGCATGGCGGTGTCGCTGCGGGCTGAAAGAAGGCAGCTCGAGTGTCGGCGTATCCGGCGTCTGTCTACCCGGAAAATGAACCACCTTCGTTTCCCATTGTAACGTTAATAGGAGAATTTTAATTAAAACCGACGCGCTGATCGTGCGGCGTGGACAATTTGTTTCTCCAGCTGCTGGCTAATTCTCCTCTCTCCTTCACCCTTTCTCCCCTTTTGTCTCTCTTTCTAGCTCTACTAGCACGTATATACATACGTATACACATACATACAAGGCACACCAGGATCGCACGGTAAGCGAGAACACGCAAGCATTAGGCACGTACACGCATTGCGTACTTACTTAGTCACGGCGAACTTATTCTCGACTTATAACAGACGATTGCCGGATCCATTGTCCAGCAATTTGTTCAATCCCATTGACCGCGTTGAAGGCACGAACCTCCACAGGACGATTTCTTTTGTCGCGGTCGCGCGCGGCAAAGTAAGGGGGACGAACAAACTTATTTGAACTAAGTACCCTGTGCACCGCTCCCATGTTCGCCCTTTTCTTCCTCTTCCAGACCCTCCACACACGTCCCTCTATCCTTTGCCCAAGCGTCTCCTCGACGACCTTCGTCCCGCTATCGTCCACGCACTCTCTCTCTCTCTCTCTTACACACGTCCCTCTATCCTTTGCCCAAGCGTCTCCTCGACGACCTTCGTCCCGCTATCGTCCACACACACTCTCTCTCTCTTTCTCTCGCCCCTCCATCCCTCTTTTCGTCTCGATCGCCGTCTCCTTTCGTCGACGTTCCTCCTCTTCGTCCTCCTCCTCCTCCCTGCATCGCGCGTCAACCTCCTGCCACCAGCCCGGAAAACTCGATTTCCGCTTATCGTCAGTCACCGTCAACCCTCCCCTTCGCCTCCCCTCTTGCACAACCCCTTCGAACCACCGTGAAAGCTTCGAAATTGCATTCGAATGCACGGCTATTAGTAACGCCAAACGGTGATATCAAGTCAATCAGCTAGGAAGCGTGTTGTATACACGCGTGTGTTATGGATTTAGTGTGTGTGTACGGTGTTGGATTATGCCGAAAAATCAACGCAAATTTGTTCTCGCCCGCAGGCGATACGACGTGTTGTTTCGATGGTTGCTGGTGTTACGTTGCCAATTGTGTCGCATTTACAAACGACGAGGTTTTACGTGGATTTCAGAGGCGATTTTGATGTGTTCGCTTATGAACACGCACGGGGTTATTGCTCGGTGTGTTTCACGCGTTCGAGTAATTATGAAGCGCGAGTTCTCTAAGGGATTAGGTATTATTCGGTTTCTTTACGTGAGGTTACTCTGAGTAAGGCTGTGTGTAACATTATTTATGTAATATATAAATAATGTATCGCAGAAATAAATTTGAAATATTAGATATATAGAATAACACAATGGAGGAATAACATTTTATCTCAAGAAATAATTTTGAAAATAATTATTTTGTATCTAAGATAATAAAATAATGACATACTCGTTCAATAGTTCTCTGATAAAGAGCAATCTCAAAATGTTTATTTTTTGGTAGCCTTAAACTTTTTCGACTAATGAATTTTCGGCTAAGAATGACAAAAATTGTCTTTAAAATGAATTTTTTCTTTTTTTTTAAATTCCACACTCTAGTGCATGCTTTGAAAACACTCTGGTACACTCGTTCCGAACGTAACCCATCTAATCTCTCACGTTCGGGATTAATGGGAAAATAAATGGGTTCCCTGTCTCGACTTCAAATTTAAATTGCCTACCTTGTATTGCACCTGTCCAGCATAACCAGAAAAGCGCCCATTTCGCGGTTCGAAATCGCTGCAGGTACCGTGGCCTGAACCAGAACCAGCCGCACTTGGGTTCATCCGTCCTCTCCGTTTCCTTAGCCGTTTCCGGCTTTATTTCCGGCTTCGTCGGACCGTCCCTGAACTGTTCCGAAAAACTGGACAGGGTCTCGTGCATGTCCGGCACCCCTGACTGTAAATCACATCACCGAGTTGACACATTTTGAATTGAACTATGACGATTAATGGGAGGTAATATGTATGATAATAATGGTAGCAGTTGACCATAAATGCCAATCCGTTTTATCGGTAACTTATAGTTAATTTAATTTTAGCAATTAGTTTAAATGCTTTGCGGTGGTATGTCTGCTCTCAGCCATCAAAGCAATTGTACCACACCATGGAGATATGTGAAATATAATTTTTATATAAAATTGAAGCAATTATTGTGTTAAACATATGAAAAATTGAATAAAAAAAAATGTATTTATAATCTTGCATTTTATTATCAGTGTTCGTTCAGTGAGTTAAATACGACCGCAAAGGGTTAAATTGGCAGTTCTAGAATATTTAGAATAATAATAGCAATGAGAAAAATTTTCAAACGTAACTTTTTCTATGATAGTGTTAATAAACTTTGAGATTCAAGGATTAACATTTGGTTATGAATGTAAGCGATATTTTAATAGCTAAAATTAATAATGAATTACGATATTAAAGGCGGCAGTGAATATTTTCAGAATTGTGTTACAGTAATTAACGCAATATATTACGACTATAGGTGGTAATAATCGTGAAATAGCTATTAATACTACAGGTAGCTTCATTCAGAATCGAGTTGTGTAATAATTAATCCCATCATGAGATAATAATAACCGATAAGAGTAATTTTGATGAATGGCTGCGCTGAAAATACACTTCATTCATTTTTCCGCATGCAATATTTTCTTCAGTTGAGCAATTTCGTTTTAAAACAACGAACGGAATTCTTGCTGAAACGTCAAATATAACCAATCCTCAATTTTTCATCGACATTATTTTAAAGTTAAAAATATTACAATTCCACAATCGTATGAATTTTGTGAAAAGAAAAATCACGTGTTTATTTGTACAGAATAGTTTATATTTCCAATGGTTTACCTGTTTGTTTGTTCTGACAGAACATCACTCTCGACTCGTTAGGAAAATAAAGAGGAAAATTAAATTGCACCTCCTACGGGCACGATCGTTTTGCAAATATAAATGGTGTAACGGAAGAGGTTAAAATTTTAAATATGTACACGTCGAATTATTAGTTATCGGAAATTGCGTGATATGTACCCGAATAAATACATTTACACAATGCTCCCGATATCAAGTTTAATTATTGGCTTTTACCTCTACACATAACGGAGAACAACGCGTCACGTCGAGACGAGTAACTCATACTGTCACGACCAAAATGTTTAATTTGTGTTTTATCGGGATCCTGACATTTTGCATTATTATGCTTAATCCAATTCGCATTAACCGTTTGACTATCGGTAATTAACAGTCCTCGAGAAAAGTGGATAGCTGCTCGAAATCGAAAAATCGAAAAAAATGTGATTGCTTTTCACGTTTTCCACGAAACTGTGGAGGATAGGAAATATCAAGTTAGGTTAATATAACCCTTAAATTTTCGATAAATTTTAACCAAACATACGCTTTTTTAAATTTTCGCTAAATTTCATTAAATTTTAAATAAATGTAAGTTTCCTCAAATTTTCGCTAAAAATCAAGAAGCAGATATATACAACGAACAGTCATATTTTTTATTTTTTTTATTTCAATTTTAGGTTAGACCATAGCTACATACATTTATGTAAATTAGTAACTTTCTTTTTTCTTCCTACAATTATCATCTTAATCGTTGAAGGAAAAGAGTTTCGAACGCTTACTAATAAAAAACTGCAAGATAAATTTCAGAAACTTTAAATTGTCGGGTGTTAAAAAATTCGATTTCACGATAAGAATAGTTTTCTCAACAAAATTGACCTACTGGATAATTTATTCTCACAATAAACGTCGCAGCAGACCTAAACACACGGTGCAAACCCTGTGACACTTTATCATCTTAAGAATACGCACGCCTTATAATTAACCTTTATAATTAATTATCGAGCCGCGGTGTTATCAATAGCTCGCGGAACAGTTTCTGCACGAACTTCTCAGAAGCGATCGATCGGCCGGTATCGATGTCGTGCTTGCTTCCTAAAATAAAAGCAGAATCCAATATTTCCGAGATACTTACGCTGAATGCAAATTTGTCCCTCATGATTCTTCCGTCTACTCTCCCGAGAAACAGTAGAATAGGAACAACTTGTCGAAACGATATACTCTTTGACTGTCTAAGCGTCACCGATGGATCGCGACATCCTTCCGTTTCCTTCTCGAACTATCACCTGAATTCTCCTTCCTATCACTTTCAATGCGACACTTCAAATCGCCTACAAGTGACTCTAATGAAAATGTCCATCACGATCACGGATTCGTCAAGCGTGTCGTGTTCCATGTGACCGTTTCTCATCATAAAACGTCGAAAACGAAACGTTCCTTATCTTGCTCTGGCGAGATGTCTAAGCGCGACAGAAATTTTCCAACTTTTCGATCGTGATCTCTCCTCAGCCGGCCACGCGATCTCGAATCGATCCGACGTACGCCTCGCCTCCTGCGCGATTAAAGATTCACAACGAAGAGGTCGTCGACCGAGGAACATCGAAAAAATCTTCCATTTCGATTTCCTTTCTATTTCTCCTTCTTTCTTTTCTTTTCTTTTCTTTTTTATTGCTTGATTACCAGACTTCGTTAGAGCCTGCTTTGACTAGCGTTTCGCTTCGAAGCAAGATCTTGGAACGATTTACCGGTCTTAATTCCGCTGGTGATTATTGATTCGATTGAACTTTTCCGGTTGATTAACGAAGAAGAAGAATACTGTCTCTTAAACGACCGATTCTCCAATGTTCCCTTTTTTTCTTTCACGCTTTTCCACTCCTCTACAGTGATAAAAACGCTTTTTATCCTTCGTTGCTCGGCGTATCATTTGTCAAGCATTCGGATTGCGACTTCCATCTGTTTCCAATATACCTGGTTCGTGTCCTCTCTGTTCCCTCTGTGTTTCTCGTTTCACCTGGAATCGCTCGTCAAAAGCGCGACGTCGCGAAAGATTCCATCCGGCGCCAGTTTACGCGCATCGTTATAAATCTTTCAAGGACTGGGATATCGTTTTCCGAACGAGCCAGTCGTTCACCGTGTTTCACCTCCTCGCCTCCGATGAAATATTCATCGTCTACGCCACGGATTTATAATTTCACCGGGGAATTCATAATTCTTCTCGCACCGTTCTCGCTTCAACAGTTGCGCCTCCCGTCGTCGTCGATCATCGGCCGATTTGGCTTCAATCCTTTAACCACGCTGCTGCGTTGACGATCGAAACTGCACATGCAATTCGCCATATGATCGAGCGGAAACTGCGCGAGATTTATCAGCACTCGTCGCGGACAAACGGACACTTTTAATTTCTTCCTTTCACGGGAAACCGATAGATAGAAACTCTTTGATATCTGAACAGCACGCGGTTCAAACTTGCATTTCCAGGATCAAATAGTGTCCGAAGTATTCACGAGCATTAGTAATAGAATTTCAATTTCGGTTTATTTTTGCGTTCAATAGTGGATTTATTTTTAAAATATTGTTTCAATACAATTTTTTCAATTTTTTCAATTTTTAACGTATTTATTGTTTATTGAATGAGAGTTGAATTCACGAGATCCCAAGATTACCTAACCAAAGTGACAGGGAACTGCAATTTTCATTGAAGAACGTGGAAACGGAACGGTCGAAGGATCGAAACAGAAATTTTCAAGAAAGTTGAAAAATGTAAGAAGCACCAGAGATAGCAAGTTTAACTTTTCCCACCGGTAGTGTACGATCGATGGAACGGCGATCGAGCACGACGTGGCCCCGCACACCAAGCCAGACGATCCGGATCGCGGTCCGTGCGCGGATCGACTAAGGGCCGCGTGTCTCACGCGACTGAGGATTGCGAGCTCGTGCTCTCAGAGTTTTCCCCGCGAGTTAAAACACCGTATATACACTACTACCGCCTCTACACTGCCACGACAGACATCCTCCGTCCTTCTCCCTCCTTCGCCTCCCCACCCACGCTCACCACCCTCTGAAGCTCGCGTTCTCTCCCACCTTTGCCCCCTCCCTCTCCTCTCCTCCACGACCAAGCGCACCAAATCGCTCTCCCTTCCCCTTCCGCCACTCATCCCCCCTCTTTCTGCCACCCCTCTCTCGCTCCTTTTCTCTCACCATAGACGCGCGACACACTGTATATACCTCCCCTGGTACTAGCTGTTGCTTCGGTTCGAGGGCCGAAAAAACGGGGCTGCCTCGTCGCATCTGATAAGATTCATTAATTTGTGTTAATTGCGGAGATTGTGGTCGCGATTAGACACTTTCTCAGGGACGTTTCGCGGTGTATCGATAAGTACCACCACCGAATTCTCTCTCTATGTCTCTCTCTTTCGCTCTCTTTATCTCTCTCTCGCTTTCTCTCTCTTTCTCTCTGTCTCACTTTCTCCCTCTCTCTCTCTCTCTCTCGTTATGTCGTTGTTGCTCTCCATGACTAGGTTTAATCGAGAATTTAAACTACCTTTTGCCGCCGGTTGTTTTGGTAATTTACGGTAGAGGAGATCGCGACTGTTTCTTAGCGTCCTCGTTTTTGCTGCTCCTCCATTTGGGCTTTTGGGTTTTGAACACCCGGAGGGTTGCTTCCATCGATTAGCTCTCGCGACGGTTAATTTTGGCTTTGCTTGGAGAAACTGAAGTGGTAATATGTTTTAGAGAGCGAGGCGACGTTGCTTGATTTTCTTTCTTCCGGATTGTTGGTTTCTCTGCTTAACGGGGGTGACTTGGTTTTGGTCAGATGGAAGTTTGTTGAAGATGTTGCGAAGTGCTTTTTTTTTTTGTTTGTCGAGAGATGCTGAAGTGTGCGAGTTTCTTGAGTTTTTGTTCACCACTTGGCTTGGGATTTTGTGAATATTTTGCGGTAGCAACAAGTTCGCGGTTTGAGGACTTTTGTAGAAGTTGTTGGAGGATTTGTTGACAACTGTAAATGATTATTCTGGGAATTGAATAAAAATGTCGATAAATTATGAAGAA